GCCTTAATATTCGAGAAATCTTAGAGAAAAACATGAGCCCACCGGCAGGATTCGAAATTGCCTCCCTAGGATAAACCGTCATTAGATCTGACGTGATTTGAACCTCTCGGACACGGAGTGTGTCGATAGCCATCAATTGCTGAATAGTGCCTTTAAACAAAGATTTGTCTCTGACTCTCAAAATAGACATATCAGCTAAGTTTCGTATCATAACGTAAACTGAGCAATTTATAAACAAAACATTTATTCAATGATCTGACATAATTTTATGACACTCCGTTTATTTATTAAACAGTATATTAATATATGTGAAGGTGGAACGCAGGTTCGAATCCTGCTGGAGATCACCTATTCTTCACTAAGTTTTCTATATGCACTGGCCAACAGACGAAATAAACAGTTAAAAAACGGGGCGTTCTAATCAAATATAGGTATCCACTAAAATAACCTTAGAAGTAATATATATATATATATATATATATATATATATATATATATATATATATATATATATACACACACACACACACACACACACACACACACGCACACACATATATATATATATATATTTCAATTAAAAGGTGCAATTATAATTATAATAAAAAAAAACAAATATAGAGGTTAATAATTTAAATGGCGAGAATACATCTTCGCAAACAATATAAATAAGATATGATCCCTGTTTATAAATCCCAGTTGCATAAGGTCTTTTTAATTTTTTACAAGCTTTCGTCTGTTTCTACAGACATCATCAGGTATGGAAGTAGATGTTGTTCTTGTTTTTACTTGGAATTTATAAACGGGGATCATATCATTCATATACAGGTTCGGGGTTGATGTATCTTATTTATATTGTTTGCGACGATGTATTCTCGCCATTTAAATCATTAACCTATATATTTGTTTTTTGTATGAATGATTCATGAATATATATATATATATATATATATATATATATATATATATAAACCGAGTGTAACAGCATAATTGTCCGTCCCTCTAAATGTTTAATATCTAAAAAAAAAAACAAAAAAAAAAAAAAAATAAGTAATTGAGTTCCCTTTCTTCCCAGGTTTTCAGATAGAACGTTTAGCCATCTTGACACCATTTGAGGTAAGAATCACTGAAAAACACTTTGAGTTATTCAGCTAGAAAGAGGACAGGTTAAAATCGTTTTGTATCAGTCCCACGATGTCTTCCTAACTGAGCAATGGCGAGAGGAAAAAGATCATTCAGGCCTTTAGTAAAGGTACCAGCATTCATACTCTACTCCCATCTTCAAATTTCATCCAACATCACGAGAAAAGTGAATAAGCTTAAAACAGTAGAAAGGAAAACTGGATCAGGAGGTCACATCAGGAAGGGGGATCATCATTTCCACTTAGAGCTAAAGAGATCAATTAGAAAAGATCCAACTCCCCCATGAGATGTATGACACGTGAGAGATGAGTTTCAGGCATGGCAATCCAAAGAGCAGTGAAAAAGAGTTAAAAAATGACATGACACGTGAAACCTGTGAGGCACGTTGTTACTCCAGTACAGAAAGTTACAAGGTTAGGGCAAATCATGCTGGAATATATATATATATATATATATATATATATATATATATATATATATATATATATATATATATATATATATATATATATATGGTAGAGTAATGGATAGTGGCTTGCATTGAGGAATCGGAGAGCCGAGTTCGAATTCAGTCGAATCCATTACTTTCCTTACGTGCTAATACCCTTAGGAAAGGTGTGAATCCTTTTCTTCTCTCTCCAAATAATAGGTAAAACACATGACAGGCTGTCTTCTATAGCCTTGGATGGCAGCTGGTCTAGGAGAAGAACAACTCTGAATTTAATACCAAGTCTCTGTATTCGGCTCTTCAAAAAGTGTGGATGGTTCTGCACAAAACCTTCACCACTATAAAATCTCATGTGCCGGTGTCGGGCTGTCATTTTCCTAGGATGTGATCTGCTTGAATTCGACGGGGAGTCAGTATTATATATATATATATATATATATATATATATATATATATATATATATAATATATATATATATAGAGAGAGAGAGAGAGAGGAGATTTTTTTCGAAAAAGTCGATCTGTGTATTCCCTGACAACGTCCACATAGTGTTATAGTAATCAATATCAAGAGATAGAGCATTAAACGTAAATGCATTCTAATAAAGAAACCAATTTTTAAAGAAGGGTTTCTCCTGTCAAGATTTCGCGAATATTCAGGTCAGTAGACGAAAATAAATAAATATACTGTTTAATAAATAAATGAAACATCTACTCAGATATCCAATAAAAAATCCATCACTTCTTTAGAAATTACTTTATGTTAAGATAAGAAACTAAGTTGATATGAATGTTTCGAGAGTCTGAAGAAAATTATAGATTATAAAGCATTATTCTTATATATATATATATATATATATATATATATATATATATATATATATATATATATATATATATATATATTTACGTTGGATAGATGTGAGTTTGTGAAACCCTAGGTTTCACAATCGTCTCACAATCTATCCAGCGTGAAATATGTTAACTTTATCTCTGATATTGAGCGCTTTCTAATAAGTACCGCGCATATAATATATAAATAATTATACATATATATATTTGTTTATATTTATATACACTTTTCACACACACACACACACACACACACACACACACACACACACACACACACATATATATATATATATATGTATTCTATCAGCAAATCATTATTCAAACATATATTGTTAAATATAACAGACAACGAATGTAAATCATGTTTGATCATGAGCTATTTTAAGCTTCGTCTCGTGGCTTTAGTTTCGGGAGGAAATAAAGAAAAAACTGTTCAACATTTGGATATACTTTTATTATGCTGTTACTTGATGTAAGCGTTCGGTTTTACATGAGCCATCATCATCATTTCTGTTGTAATGTCGATATAACCACTTATTTTGGCTTTCGACATTTTGTTCTTCGACACTCTAACCTGCTACCTTTGTAATCACGCCTCAATAAGACTTGCTAGCTTTTTAAAAACTGGATTTAAAACGGTTATGGAGTGTAAAGAAATCCAAATGTCTAGGAAAGGTTCTAACAGATAACAGAAAATTTCACACCAAAACCCGAAGAGACCTTTCCAAAAGATAAACTTAGTATTAAGAAAGAGTAAAGTTTCCCGAGAAACAAAGAAAACTGACGAATTGTTCCGTAATACCAATGCGTATATATGACAATGAAAGTTGGAAAATATTCCCAGAAAGGAAGAGGAGACTTTAGTCAAAGAGTGCCATGGACTGAACATGTGATCAACGAGGAAATCTTAAGGAAAATGGCAACAAAATACTTTGTGGTTGATATGCCGTAAAACAAAACAAACCTCCTGCTTTATAAAAGCCAGGCCAGGGTCAAAATGGACTACTGCTGCCATATATAGCAGGGAGCTGCCCAGTCTTCAATTTCCATTCTCGTTAGAGTCCAAAAGCGCTGAATTATTTTCCATTCTGCAACGCCATTCTCACAGACGAGACGTCGCAAGCTACTATCGCTATTTCCATGGAGAGTGTTCAGATTAACTACACTCCTTAGTTCGACCAGTCCTAAACTTCATGGCTAAGACCCACAATGCAACGCAGTTTGTAGCGAACCATCCTTCTTACATCTTACTAGGCGTGTTATAAAGATATTTATAACACGCCTAGTAAGATGTAAGATGCCTTGTAGAACCAACTCCCAAGAGGCTGCTTCCCCGATCGCTACAATCCTAACCTGTTCAAGTGTAGGGTTAACCATTATCCTCCGCACATGTCTGCATAAGCTGTACGTCTTACTCTGTAGCACTCCAACTCAAGTGGCCCCAGGGTCTTGTACAGGGTGAACACCATTTAAAAAAAAAAATATCTTTTTTTATTGCATAAGCAATTGTCCTTGAAGAGGACTGGATCCAGGCTGCGAGATGAATAACACACTCAGCTCTTCCAAATTGAAATGTTCCAACGTGGACCACGACATTCTCTTGGCGCGAGATCATATTTAAGGAAAAATGTGAACTCACTATTAATGGCTTTTGAGACTCTCCCGCAAGCCAGTGTTCTACTCGGTCTGGGGGCGGGGGGATTCTTTTCAAGTGACAAGTGTTGGATGTCTTCTTCTGCTTGCAGTGGCCAAACCGATTGACTTAGGATTTGCCAGCTGTGGCGTAAATAATACGAGATTGTTATTTTATTTGGTCTGATTTGTTTGTGTGTTTATTTATTGTCGTCATATCGATAAGCTTAGTTAAGTTTGGCTAACAATTTGGCATTTTGCTGAAAGGTTTCTTCGGAGTCGTCTGCTGAGTGCCAATTAGCTACCAAGTCGGACAGAATCTAGAGTGGCCATTGCATCGAGCGGGGAAAAAAAAACAGGAGTCGTTGATAACGACTCGAGACGGAAAAAGATAAGAAAAGGAAGGAATAAAGCAAAACGTGAGAAAATGAAGGTCAATCATAAAAAAGAAATGAACTTGCGACAAAGAATCGGCAAAAATGGAGGAAGAAAAGCGAACGTGTAAAGAACGCATCTGAAGAGAGAATGCATGAAAATATGAGAAACTAAAAGATATATATATACATATATATATATATATATATGTGTGTGTGTGTGTGTGTGTAGAGAGAGAGACAGAGAGAGAGAGACAGAGAGAGAGAGGGTAAAGGGGTGCTAGAAAAGGAGAAAGGTAGAGGGTGAGAGATAGAAAATACGATGAGATAATGAAAGAGGAAATGAGATGAGATAATGAGAGAGGAAAAGATATGCGGAGAGATAGATTAGAGAGAGGTTAGGAGAAAAAAAAAAGAAATAAAGTGTGATAAATAAGAGGGAAGGAGAGCGAAGAATGAGACAAAAACGGAGAGAAGAAGTAGAAAAAAAAACAACAAAAAGCGATAACCAAGAAAAGAGACAGGAAGCGTGTGAAAATTCAGAAAAGTCAAAGTGAATGAGATAGAGAGAGAGAGTGGGGGGAGAGATAGATAGGGAAAAGAATAGAGAAAGAAGAAGAGATCGAGAGTGAGACGAGAAGAAAAAAAAAAGAATGAATACGAGTAGGATAAATCAAGAGAAAGAGGGAGTGAGAGAAAGCGATACAAGTGTGCAAGTTAATGATAAGAAAGAAAGAAAAAGTAAGAGAAAGAAGAAGAAGAAGAAGAAGAAGAGAGAAATTAGACCACAGATAAAAAAAGAGATATAGCTAACAAGTAAAAGAAAATTGAAAGTTAAATCAACGGAAATAGAAAGAAGGTGAATATAGAGAATGCGTTAAAATAGTCTCCGTAAGCGAAAAGAGAGAGATGAGGAGAAAAAGGGGAAAATGAAACGAAGAGACATAAAGAAATATTCGAAGAAAAAAGAACGTATAACGAAAGAGAGAATGAAACTGAGGACAAGTGTTTAAAAGTTTATGAGTGCGGAAAAGGAAGGTGAAAATGGAGAGAGAGAGAAGGCGTTAGATTAGGCAATGGAAACCACGTAAGATAGAGAGGAAGTGAGTGAGAAAGGTACAGTGCGGAAGGAAGAAAAGAAAGCAAATGTGAGAGAAAGAGAGAGAGCGAAAATAAGAGGGACAGAAAGAATAAAACAAACTAAGAAAAAAAGAGAGAAAGATGAAGGAGTAAGATGGAGAAGAGTTAGAGCAAGTGATAGAAAGTTTAAGACAAAGAGAGAATAAAACAACAAGAGAAAGAAAGAGAAACGAAGATAGTAAACGTGGAGAAAAGAGAGAAAACCAATGTGGGGTAAGAATAGAGGGGAAGGTGAGTATGAAGGGGAAAGATAAATGGGAGAGTAAGAGACAGACACTGTGCAGTTAACAGAAAGTAGAGAGAAGAATAACAAAAAATATCGAAGAAGGAAAGATATTATCAAATGAGTGAGTCAGTGTGCGTGTGTGTGCGTGTGTGTGTGTGTGTGAGAGAGAGAGAGAGAGATAGAAAAATAAGGAGAGAGAAAAAGAGAGAACAAGAGAGGTTGAATAGACACAATGCAGATAACATAAAAAGGAGGGAGAAAGCAGGAGAAAAAGAAAAAAATCGACGAAGGAAAGATAGAATAAAGTAAGAGAGAGAGAGAGAGAGAGAGAGAGAGAGAAAGAGAAATAGAAACACAGAGGAAGAAAAAGAGAGAAAGAAAAAGAGATTGATGCTTTTACACCATAGATCGGTTACCACTTCTTCACGACGTTAAAATAACTGAATACTTTAAGTAAGCGGTTTCTTTGATAGCAAAGCTCAAACAATGATGAAGTTATCATTAAACCGCTGAGTGGGTATATATACCATTTAAATGAAGACAATTTGTTGGCCAAAGACGATCTTCTTCCTTTGGACGGGAAGGTGCATCGTTGAATCGGAGTAATTTAACCTAATGCGCTCTCGCCCGGCCGTAGCCTGTTAAAAGGGTAGATGCGCGCTTCGGCTGGGTCTTTCGCCATCCCGCTCTCCGCACTGTTCACGCGCCCACGAGTGCCCTATCAAAGCTTTGAGACAGTCCGGATCGCGGCTCTTACACTGCAACTGCACCGCACACACACACACACACACACACACACACACACACACACACACACACTTGCTTTTAATGAGCTGGCTCGGTCAAGAGACTGGCGGCGTCTCCTTCGGCCGCTGAGGCTGCGGTCGCTAACTGTGAACAGTCTAGAGGACTTCACTGACGTCACCGATATGCTGACCTATCTTATCCTGTCGTCCCGGTCGCCACCATTCATTATTACTGATAATACAAGTTGTACCGCCTTTTAATACGACTACAGTGAGAAGATAACACGCTCTCTCAATTAGTATGGAATCATCATATATTTTGACGTAACAGTCGATTCTTAGAATTCTTTTGCATTAATTCAGGTATAATTATCATTAAACTGCAGAATCGGCATATGCAGCATTCTTTTCCTCTTGGATAGATTAAGAGGGTCTAAAGGAAATATTTGAAAAGCTTCTATCAGAAAGCCAATTTCGTAAAGCCTAAACAAAATGATTTAACCCTTGAGCGCTAATATTATACCACAGGATCACTACCATTGCAAACGTATCATCACAGGTAACATCAATACCATTGTCAACATAACATTACAGGGAAGATCAAAACTAATGTTAACGTAACATGAAAAGTAACATCAATTCCATTGCATACGTAACGTCACATGTAACATAAAATCTCTTGTCCACATAAGTAACATCGATACCATTGCAGACATTGACAAATAAAATCAATAACATTGCTGAAATAACATGACGATATCAATAACATTGGAAATGGTACATCACATGTAACATTTAAGAGCATAACATAAGTAATACTAATAACATTACTAACGTTACTTGAGTGGTAATATCAGTACTATTATTGCATAACATGACAATATCAATAAAAATGCGAACGTTACATAACGTAATATCAAAAGCATTACAAACATAAGTGACATCGATACTTTTTAGACGCGACTTGACAAGTAGCATCAGTAACATATAAATACAATTGCATATGTTTTATCACATGCAAAATCAGTACCACTGCAAACTTAACATGACAATATCAGTGCTATTGCAGATGTAACCTGACATATAATATGACACCAAGACTATTGTAGATGTAACATCTTTTTTAATATTAGTACGATTGCAAATACAGCATGAGAAGTAGCATCAATAGCATAACTGGTGTAACACCACAAGAAACATCAATGCAATTACAGACATAAAATTATATGTCGTATAAATAGCATTGCAGGAAAATTAACAACACTTTTACTGCATGACATGTAAACTCAATACTATCTATATCTATAATTCTCAAAATGTGTTTGCGCGCGCGCGTGTGTGTGTGTATGTGTGTGATCGGATGTTGTTTATGCATTTCCACAGTTTTCATCCAACTTTAATAATTTTTTTTTTGTTTGATAGATAATTCTTCAGTGCCGGTTTTGAGGCCAAATTTTTGACGACAATGGCTCTCCACTACTTCCTGTCCATTATAATTCTCAGCAACGTTTTACTATTTACTATCTGTTCTTGAATATATATCTTTCGTAAAAACTTTAATAAAAATAAATACTTTAAATTATTACAATAATATTATCAATATCTATAATTCTCAAAATGTGTGTGTGTGTGTGTGTGTGTGTGTGTGTTTTTCCCACAGTTTTCATCCGATTTCGATGAAACTTTTTGTTTGATAGATAATTCTTCAATCCCGGTTCTGAATTCAAATTACACATTTTCCCTCTTTTGGCCAAGCGTCAAATTTCTCTTCAGTGAGGTTATCTTTTCCGTTTCATAGAGCCTACTACTACAGTTTTAAGGCATTGCTTTTATTGTCGTTTATAGCCGTTCCCAATTTAATTGTTTTTATTGTCTTGCCAGTTTTTGCATAGCATTCACTGCAGTAATAAGTAAGCTTGTTTTTTTTTATTATTCAATATTTATTTTCCAACCTTTCCTCAAGTTATTCGATCTTATTGATCCCTGTAGCTTTAAAGCTTTCTCTTCTGGTATTTGCCCAAGCATTACATTTGACAACTCATACTTACTCAAGACATGCCACCAAGGAAAAAAAAATTTGCCTAGGTTTCAAAACCGCTGCCACCAGGCCCGCCATGCGAATGAGATAACAAATCGTCTTTAGAACGTTCAGTTTGCCTGTCTCAAAATGTCTCTCGGAATGCTTCAATTCAGAGTCCGAAGATCAACGTAGCCATCGGCTTTTCAGAAGAGCATACTTGAACGCTTCTGCGCGCGAGGCTGAAAATGATTATCAAAAGACTCAAAAACCGAGGAGAAACGCCTCTTCAACTACTGTGTGTGAGGCTGAAGCAAGATTGAGAAATCAAAAACGGACATTTTCAGGGCCACCCCACATTCAAATTGTTAACCTCTCATTTGGCTTCAGTTGCACCCAAATGTTATTACTAATATTGATATTCGGGTGGTCTGACTTTAAACTTAAACTGCTCCAACTGAACGGCAAAAAATCCCAGTAATGACAGACCCCGTCGAAGACAGGTTATAATGCTAGTAAATTAATTAAAGGAATTTGGACACTTCATACAGCTGCGATTTATAAATCTACATAAATCCAATTATTTGTTAAAATTTAATAAAATATCCTCCAGTTCCTGAATCACTGATTGAAATCCATTATAAAATCATTTCCTTTAAAAAAAATAGCGAACATATTTTTGTTTGTTATAAATACAACAACCACTAACTTAACAAAAAAGCGGTAAAATACAGTTTGATACTGAATGCATTTTACGTACCTATGAATAAAGAAGGAATGCCAGCTGAATCGCAGACATGTCAGATCAAAGACGATACAGACAGGAGCACCAGAAAAAAAAAATCATTAAGATTGTGCATTTTGTGGAAAATTGGTGCCACTAGATCAAAAAGAGGACAGAAAATGTATTTAACAATTGTGCGTCTAATGAGAAGTCTGTTAAAAAAACACTCACAAAAGACTTGAAGAAAAGAATTAAAAAACATGGAAAAGGTTCAGACGATCGCAGGGGTATTTTTCCTTTTCTTTTTTTTTTTTAATCTTTAAAAAATTAAAAAAAAATTTCTTGCCATTCAAGATGTCTGTGACCAATGGTCTTCAACAAATTCATTTTCTTTATTCCCTGTGAATTACAGATTTTTCTTTAAAAAATAATATAGTTTTAATAGTTTTGAATTCAGACCTGTGCTCCTAGCCCCATGGCCAAATGAGTCTAGCATTTAATAGTTTGGTGGGAGGTGAATTAATGGATTTTTGCCTTTTCCAAGAGTAATAGTGCGAAGTGAACACAACAGAATAGGACGGAATTCCATCTTTCGTGCCGTCAAATGCACATCAATATTCATTGCCGTTGCAAAAGCTAATGGATGCCATATAAAAAATAAAAACGTTGCATTTTCTTTTTCTCGTCGGAAAATTATGAAAATATTGGACTTTTGTGTTCATTTTTACCCGGAAAAAGAAAACTTGTGTTTGTGTCGCTGGGTGAGGGTGACGAAAAATTGACTCGTGATTATTTACACTATTTACATTGTTCGGAATGTTTCCCTCATTTTTGTTGCCATATTTACGACGTTTCAGGTCGTTGTATGCTTTGGTTATTTTTTTCAGGTGATTGGAATTTCGAACCGAACCCTTTATTTCACCCACAGGCTTAGTTTGTTCTAGTTTGGTCCAGGGGATAAAAGAGTTGGTTAAATTAATCCGATGACTTGACTCAAAGAGTTGTGCGTTCAATACCTGCTAACAGCAGGGATGAACAAAAACTTAGAGATTTGATCTAAAGGGAAATAACTGATACTGAGATATTCGAATGGGAAGAGGCATGGTACGTGGAACTAGGGCATGTGGAACCTGAAAGCCTCTACTTTTGTTCAAAAGACAGAGATGTCGATAGATGTAATACAGTTTAATAAATACCAAGCACGTCTCGCTAGATCAGTTACGACTGACTAGTTAGTTCAATACTTACTGGGTGTTCTATACTTTCGGCCTTGTGCCATACGTAAGTTATGCTTACTAAATCGTTTGAAACTTCACCGGTATCAGCTGGGCTAGTTTGAAATTAATATTAACTCTAGCCCCAGGTGCCATCCCCCAGGGGGCATCCCCCAGGTATTATCATTCCTTTGGGAGGGGAGTTGGGGTCATCACTTGAGGTATTCCAAAAACGTAAAGTGCCGAGGGCGCTTGAGCAATTTTTCTACGGTATTGCTGGTAAACTAACTTTCAACTTCGACCATGTCTTCCATTCGATAGGGATGTAGGTGCACTGGAAAATAACTTCAAACAGCTGTCTTACTGCTCATTCTGTAGTCTTAAGTTCTCTTTTTCTCTTGTAGTCAACATTCACAAGACGTAATGACTAACTCTCTCTATCTCTCACTCTCTCTCTCTTTCTCTCTCTCTCACTATCTCTCTCTCTCTATCTCTCTCTTTCTCTCTCTTTCTCTGTTTAAATCTCTGAGAGTTTAGCATTTTAAAATAAGCGATAAATAATGAACACATATTGAATATTTTTTTTATTTTTATTACACACCATCGAATTTGTCGACTCGTGAGATGTTGCGTTATTTAATTTTTGCGCTAATTCCTGTTCAGGAGATATCTAATTTCTACATTTTTTAAAACATCCGACCTATGTTTGTAAACTTTCCTCTAGAATTGGAAACGTTTCATTATGTTCAATGCCCTGTACGACGAGATAAATATCTAACATACCCGAACAGCTAGCTGTAAAGAGAATGAGATGTCGTTTTACAACTTACAAGGATAGATGAATTAAAGCTTTGAGTGTATTTTTTGGATATTTTGATGAAAATGTTTGGCGAAGCCGAGGACAAATTTTGATTCAGAAGACAAAAGGAAGACAATGACAAATCGTAAAATGACTCCCTCTCTCTCCTTTTCTATATTTCTATATACGCGAGTTTAGCATGTTAAAGTAAGCGAAAAATAAAAACATATTTGATTTTTGTGCTAATTCATTTTCAGGAGATATCTAATTTCTACAATTTTTTTTAGCATCCGACTTATCTGTTCGTAAACTTTCCTTTAGAATTGGAAACGTCTGAGATTGTTTAATACGCTGTACCTCGAGATAAATATCTAACTCCCTCGAACTTTTCCTTCTTTTGGATTCTTGTAATCTTGAGCAAGGATGGTTTTATTGTTCCACACTACTATTGTGAAGATGTATTGAGAGAGACGAAAATTGAGTGAAATAATTTCAATAGTAATGTTACATTAAAAATACATAAAATAAAAGTCTTAGTTTCCAACTACAATATACAGAGCTAGCAATTGTATATATAAGCTTTCGATTCGTAAATAGCATTTCTAAGAATACACGCTACTCTTTACCGTAAGGTAATTATTGCAGTGAATGGGTTACTAATACACGTTAATCTAGCTTGTTTGATGGTAAAATATTTATCTATGTAGAAGTTTCTTAGATAGAAAGCTCACCTATGTAAACTGTCGGTCGCAGTGAAGATGTTGAGTGTCATCGACGAAATGGCTAAGCGGTAAGATATTCAGTGAATGGAAATTGATGAAGTAAAGGGGCCTTTGCGAGCAAAACATTTACTGTGTTTCCTTTGGACTTGTGTTGGGTTTCCAGGGTTCGTTTACTGTTATTTCAATTCCATCTTCGCCAGCAAATTTAGCAAAGTTTTCCTCTTGTCTATTACCATTGAATTCAGAGGCGTAACGATAAACACTTCGTATAAAAGGAACCGATACAAACTTCTCTGTAAGGAAACAGGTTAAATGGAAGAGACGAATATGAGAAAGCATGTCTGTGAATAGGAGAACGAAGAAAGTTTTAAAAGAAGGAGGAAATAAGAAAAAAGAGGGTAATTAAGAAATAAAGATGGAGGGCAAAAAACTATATAGAAGGAGTGGGAGAGACGAGATAGAAAAGAAAAAGACAGAGAAGATTAAATAGAAGGAGATAAGAAATAAGGTGGGACAGGGAGAAGAAAGCAGTGCAAAAGAGGAAAGAGTAGAGGAAAAAATAAGAAAAAGGGAAGAAGAAAAGAAGAAGGAGCAGCAACAGAAGAAAAGGAGAGCAACAAAAGAAAATAAGCAACAACAGAAGATAAGTAGAAGAAAAAAAGAGAGCAACGGAAGAAGGAGAAGAAGAAGAAGAAGAAGAAGAAGAAGAAGAAGAAGAAAAGAATAGGAAGAGAAAGAAGAGCAGAAGAAAAATAAAGCAACATAAAAAGTAAACAAGAAAAGCAGCAAAAGAAAAAAAAGGAAAACAGAGGAAAAAGAAGAGGAAAACAACGAAGATGAAGAGTTGCAGAACCGAAGAAAAAGAAGAGACGAAAAAGAAAGAAAAAATGAAGAGAAGAAGGAAAAAAGAGGAGCAGAGCAAAAAAGAAGATAGCGAAAAAGAACTGGAGGATAAAAATAGGAAGGACAGTAGAAGGAAAAAAAGGAGAAAGCGAAAGCGAGGTGAATACAAAGAAGAGAAAGAAGAACCAGAAAAAGAGAGAAATTGAAGTAAATGAAAAAAAAAAAAAAAAAAACGGTATGAAAGTGAAAAGCGAAAGTAGACGAATAAAAGCAAAAAACAAAACTTAAATGAATGACGAGAAGAAAAATGGAAATAAGGAAAAGGAAAGTCTATAAGAACAAAAAACGACAAAGATGTAAAAGAATGCATGCTAGAAGGAAGCAAACGATGGCAGAAGAAAGAGAAAGAATATGGAAAGAAGATAGGTGGAGCCAAATAACAGGAACAAGTCCAATGGATAACACCTTGAAAGCATCGTAAGAAGAAGAAAATGGTCTAAGAGAAAAGAGAGAAAGAAATAGGAAGAAGGAAAGAATAACACGAAGAGGACAATAAAGAAAGGGGAAAGGGGGAGTAGATGCAGTGAAAGTATAAAGAGAGGCATGAATAACGTACAAAATCAGTGAGAACGAAACCAGTACAAGACAAAAGAAAGATAAAGATTACACGAATGAAGCGAAAAATAGTTGGAGAAAATAAGGAAAGGAATGAAAATCATGCCAAACACATGATATGATGCCGAACAAAGACCAAGTTTAGAATAACAGGGACTTATCTCCGCGTTTTGTATTGAATTCAACGCGAACTGCAAGGGCTGCTTGACCAATTGTTGGCACGTGTCCAAAAGAGAAAAGCTAAGGAAGGAGAAATGCAATCAAGAATCAGCAGAACAATGAACAAGTTGAAGCCTGAAGAAATGCTTCCGGTTAATATTGTCACAAAATAAAAACAAGATGCTGTCGTATATTCCAAAACACACTATCATCATCTGCTGAATTATTTAAACTATTAGGCTCTACCAGAAATAATTATCATTTACAGCAGCTTACTCTCGAATTTATTTTTTGTACACATCTAAAAAACTAGGAATGCACTATGTTAATTTTTAAATTATTTTTTTAATCATTTCACCCCAAACAAGGCGGAAATGCCGCTAGTACGCAGGGTGTTACAGGGTGTGAAAGTGTGAGAAAAGACTGGGTATAGAGAGGATTGTGGAAAGGACGAAATACAGACGGAGTTCAAGAAGATGGCGATTGACGTTGCATTTAAAATTTTGAAGATCGTATTTATTAGGGAAGCAAGTAAACGGAAGGAAGTTTTTTTCTCGCTAAGTTTTCCGCAAGCTTTTGAGGCAAATTTCGATTCCTTGCACGATCATTCAACTCGACCTGGTTAAACTTTGGCGGATCGTTTTGACTTTCAAATACGCTTGGGCTAAAATCGGTATCTGACCCCTCAGAGTGTATAAAAATATTTTCAGAAACAACTAATTCTTGGGTTGGCATACCCTGGAACTTTGGAATGGGGATCTCATTTGAGAGTAGCAAAGGTTGTATCGCAGTGTCAAAATCTGGGTACTCGATACAATGTTTATTTTTCTTAGTGAAGCTAGAAGTCTTGACAAGGCAAAAGTAGCAGATTAGTCACGTGGTTAGTACGATCTCACCACACATTATATGGAAAGTAAAAGCTGCAAGAAAATTGCATTTATGAATTTTATCAAAAGTTATCACCCGACAATTTAACATTTATATGTCTTTCAACCTTTTGCAATATTTGAGATTCTTCTAAAAAAAGATGTAAATTTTTGTTTGTGTAATACAGTTGTATTTAGATAAGTTACAGTTGACTAGTGATTAAGTTATGTAGTTTTATGAAATCATAAACTTACCATGAGAACTCTAAAAGGTATTTTTGAATCCGTCTTTCAACGCATATAGTGCAGGCTTTATGTGAAGCCCGCGATTTATCTTAGTCCTCCAGTTTTATACCAAAATAAGTTAAGTTTAATTAAATTAGACATAATTTATTAAGACTATTAAAACACGATGATAAAATTACTCGCTAACTCATATACCAATTCAAAATTATGTTAACGCCTGAACTTAACTGATTGGCTCATTAACTCCGAAAACGAGTCTCTTTTATATATTTTAATTGTCCTTCTGGAATATTCTACAGAAAACAGGAACACTCGATAACATACTATAATTCTATGATATTTTAACTTAATTTACTAATATTAAGGTAGGTTAAAAATGACAAAATTAAAAATATTTTAGGGTATTACATATAAAAGTATACATAATATAACACTACCATAAAAATAGGGACAAATACCTAGATAAAAACCGAGTTGCATAATGTGTAAATGCAAAAAGTCTTAGCGAGTATTGAGAAAAACCTTTTGATGAATATGACGAATGAGGAGGGGTGTTGAGCAAAACCAGGCCCTGAGAGCGCAAGAGTAGAAATTCCTACTCAACACACCCAAATTACAGAGACCTAACTGTCAAATCTAATTCAATAGACAAAAAAACCCCCCCTGAAATTTGTTCTCCAGTGACGTCTTCATGTGCCAGATTTTTAAGATTTTCATTTGAAGATCCTTGTATGTTGAAATTAATTTTTGGAAAATCTTTAAAGATACATTACATTCTGCAGGAAAAGCCATGTCAATAAGAAAGTACTTTCCTTTTACGTTGTCTTTGATCACTACATCTTGGCGTTTAGCTTTAATTGTTCTGTCTCTGTGCATTGAAAAAGTCACACACAATCGTTACAGATCCTATGTCTGTAACCTGATTTGCGTTGGTGTTCATACCAATTTCTTGCAGTTTCATTTCCGTAAAAGTTGCAGATTTCCCAGTAGAGATATCAGCCCACTCTGTGGTGCCGTATTTTTATGTATTCGGTCGAGCGATCTCGTACATTCATTAGTTTATCACGCCAACCATCATGGTCCTGTATCAAGGTCGGGACGTCATTAGGGTGGCACTCTGTGTCATAACATAGATAACATAGTTAGTCAATGTTGCTTGTTGGGCGACCAGTCCGCCTTGTTCTAAGACTAGGTGTCCCGAGCGGTAGATCATTCGCAAGTTCTTGCTTTGCTCGCCAGCAGTGTCCCGCAAAGCGCATTCTGCGTTCGCGTAAGATGGTAGAAATGTCAGGAATAGATCCACAGAGCTGTGATTTAGTTGGATGTTGTCTCCAAGAGAGGTTAAGTATAGCTCTCAACAAGTGTAGGTTCCAAAGCTTAGTCTCAAGGATTTTAGTTAATGTCCAAGTAGTTGCACGATATATTAAAACCGCCTTTACAGTGGCTCAATCTCTGTTTGAAGTTGTCTGAGTGATCAGATTTCAAGATTACATCCATTTTAGCCAATTATTATTATCATTATTATTATTATTATTATTATTATTATTATTATTATTTTCTTTGATTTTTGGTGTTTACACATTTCTTTCCGAGTCCCGCCCACGGACCGAAGTTTAGAAATTGTATCATGACACTTTCCACTGACAAAAAAAAAAAAAATTAAAATAAAAATATTACATAGATAAAGCCCTTCGTAAAGTGTGGGCTGTACTTGTCAGAACAATTTTTTGTATCTCCTTGAGGCATGGACTTCCAGGAATCCCTTCAATTAGTCTGCTGGAATCCTTTTCAACTAGTCCTAGGGCTCCAACTACAACAGGGATTGTTGATGTTCCCATATGCCACATTTTCGAGATTTCTATTTCAAGGTCCTTGTATTTTGACAGCTTTTTGAATATCTTCAAAGATACATTGCAGTCAGCAGGGACTGTCATATCAATAAGGAGGCACTTTTTTGTTTGTGGTCTTTAATAACAATGTCTGGGCAGTTGGCTTTGATATTCTGTCAGTGTGTATTGTGCAGTCCCATAGAATTGTAACAGATCCTATCTCCGTAACCGGGTCTGGGTGGTGTTCATTCTAGTTTCTTTCAGTTTCCTTCCCGTAGAAGTTGCAGATTTTACAGTGCAGATATTGGCCCACTCTGTCATGCCGGGTTTTATATTCAGTGGGTGCCAACATCGTGCAACCTGATACAAAATGATCAATCGTTTCTGGATATTTATCACAGAATATGCATTTTGGCCTAACACAATATTTTAGTATATGTGCTTGATAATTCCTAGTTAGCAAGCATTGGTCATGTGCAGCAAGGATAAAACCTTCAGTTTCAGCTTTCAACCCTGCACTACGTAGCCACTGATGGATACGGGTTTCGTCTACGTCAGCTTGTTTGGTACGGGCATAATATTGGCCATGAAGCGGTTTATTTTGCCATCGCTTCTGTATCTGGTCGGTTGCATTCGTCTTTGCTGTCTTTTGTAAGTATTTTGCAGTTTCAGCCGGTGTATTGTGTTGTACTTGCATCTCTACGCCCATTTGAAACTCCATTTTAATTTGTTGGCTTCTTTTATTACGGAGTAAAGACGCTTACTACTTTCATGTTCCTTGACGCATACCATCATCCAGTCTTCTGTAGTTTCCAAGTATCTTTGTAGGCCAATTGTTGTAGTTTTGTAGGACAGTTATAGTTGAACTAATCCTCTGCCTCCTTCGGATCTGGGCAAATACAGACGATCAACATCAGCTTTGGGATGATGCATGCGGTAGCAAGTGAGAAGCTTTCTCGTTTTGGCGTCCCTTCGCTTAATTTCAGTTAAGGACATTAAAGCTGTATTGCACCACAGGGACAGCCAATGTGTTTATGGCTGATATTCTGTTTTTTTGAGTTCCGCTCGGTATTTAGTACCAGACGTACACGCCTGTAGTACTCTTTTCTTATTTTTCCCTTCATTTGGGGGTATTGTATGCCATCTCCTTCGCTAATTCCTAGGTACTTAGAAGCTTCATCATGCTCCAGTTCCCTAATCTTTGTGACAAAATCTAAATCTATTAAGGGTGTTTCTGTAATTCTACCTTTCTTGAAAGTTACTTTTGCACATTTATCTAATCCGAAGTCCATACCTATGTCGTCACTGAAGTATTTTACAATACTGAGGAGGCCTTTCAACTCATTGTCGTCTTTGGCAAAGAGTTTGAGATCATCCATGTAGAGTAGAACATTTTCTTATTTATTTTGTAACCATAGCTACTGTTGTTCAGTTCATGCGTAAGAGGGATTAAGGACAAACAAAACAGAAGGGGTGACAGAGAGTCTCCTTGAAAGATTCCACGTCGGATATTCAGACGGATGGATATGGCATTGCCCCTGGTGTGACTAAGGTATAGTTTGGTGTTCCACATTCCCATGCTGTACTTAAGAAAATTATTATTATTATTACTATTATTATTATGATTATTATTATTATTCTGTTTGATACAGATATTATTTTCGAATTTTATATTTATTATCTAATGACTGTTTTCAATCCCACTAGATTATTAATATTTTATTATATAATAATATTTATCAAAAAGAAATATTTTTAATAGTCCTTTGCTTCAAATTTCATGGAAGCCTCACAGTGACTTTATCACCACTACACCACCCCCACCATCATAAATATCATCATCAACTGTCCCATGACCAGGTTTGGATATGGGGGTCGCTGCGAAAGACTTAATACAAAACAAAACAACGAGCCAAAACTTGAAGGAGGAATTTACCGGCGAGGATTGCCAGAAGGTTTATAGTGGAGAAACCTCAAGAAGTTTACATAAAAGATTATATGAACACAAAAGAGTCATTAAAAAAACAGCAACACATTAAACGCATTAGTTGCTAACCGTAACGAGACTAGCCACAATTTTTATATAATAAATAATTCCCTAAGACGAAAGACCTTTAATCCTGAGCTCATCCACAGTAAATTTGCGTCCAGGTTCTTACAGCGTTTCGCAATTCTTGGCAGATCTGTAATCACAATGTGGGATATTTGATAATAAACACGATGGAAATATAAAGAAAAATAATCTCGATGAAATTGGCTAGATTATATGCTCAAAACGTAAAAAAATAAAAAATAAAAAAAAAATAAAAAGGGTTTTCCTAAATTTAAAATTGCCAGCGTCGCTTGTTTGTGCATAGGTGTACTCGCATCAACGTAATCAAATTCCTAAGTGATGAAAAACGTTACGCGAAAGCTTTTTCCAGATTGTCATACATCTATGAGATATATAGGTTTCGAGATAATCATAATTAAGAAATAGGAAGAAACCTTAACAGAATGCAGAAGGCACTGGACAGTCGTTTTGTCCTATATTTGGGACGCAGTGCGCATCCACTACCGAGAATTGAAACCCGGACTGTTACGATACGAATTAGACTCGATATAGCGCTGCGTGATCACAAATTCCGCTTAGGAATTCATCCGAATTTCCCTTACCTCTCTCTCTCTTTCTTTCTTTCTTTCTTTCTTTCTTTCTTTCTTTCTTTCTTTCTTTCTCTCTCTCTCTCTCTCTCTAATATGGGCAAGGGAAAAATAATAATAATTTTAGTAGCCTTATCAGATGCTTAATTTTTCTTTTTTTATTAAGCCAAGAAGTTTTATATTTTCCAGATTCTATTTGGCATTTCCCATTTTCTAGCATCGATACCCATTAATCTGGGACCACGGTTAAGTAAAACGTATGAAATTATTATTTCTAGGTGTAACCGTGGATAACTGAAACCGCGGATAACTGAGTCTGCGGATAATATGAACCGTATTTTAATGTGAGAATTATTGGTAACCTCATTATTTTCTTTCAGTCTTCAGATCTTTAATATATAAAAAAATACAAAAACTGAATGGGTCTTTTTTTTTAAATATTGGAAAAAATGCATAAGCTGGGTCAGCGATTCGTGAAATTGTTAAGGATTAGTGGGACATACGCATATATTGAAACAGTCCTTTAAGTAAACACACTCGCGT